AATCTACCTGTACATATCTTGTCCACTTTAAGCATGATGGCTCCTCTGTCCAACGCCTGCCTCCTGAACACGCCACAGAAGGTGCAGTTATTTTTCAGCCCAACCTGCTTCACTATAGCATCCATTGTCCAGCCATACAGCTCCTCATAGGACACAATCTTCAGAGGCAGTTCATACTGTTGCTGGTTCCTCTTCACAGTCTCCAAGGAGTCATCTCGATAACCTGTGATTCCCTCATCCACCGAGAGAAGCATGAGCTCAAGGCCGTAGCTGTATCGCTCATTCAGGACCTTCATTACATGTGCAAGCACAGTGGAATCTTTTCCCCCGGAGGCAGCGATTCCCACAGACTCCCCGGGTTTGAACAGCTTTGCTGACACTATGGTCTGATGAATCTCCTCTTCAAAGGCCCAGAAGAAGCACTCCTTACACAGAGAGTGGCCGGTTTTTGGACGTTTAAGCACGGCACGCTTTTCAGAGCAGCTGCTACACTGGACAGGCATCTTGACTGTTGGAAAGGTGGTTTATTAAAAGAACAACAATGTCCAAAATTAATGTAACAAATACTTTAAATATTTCATGTCAAAGCCATACAAATCTACAAAGCTCAACTTCCTCGTTGCTGATCTCCTTAAAGTGATCTTTATCATGTTCGTTTTGTAACCTGAAAATCCCAATTTAAAGTTTGGCTTTAGTCTAATGGTCTAGTAAGTGCTTTAAAAACACTTTTACAGCTCCTTACATAGCCAGGTAGGTGAGATGTCAGCCCTGAAGAATAAGAAACTTTACTTCATACGCTGGATTCTTACTACATTAGCTTCATTTTTATCTACATAAAAGTCGATAAAACACCCCGTTACTTCAATCAAAGAAATAAGCGGACAATTTAGTCACAACTTCAGTCATATTAGTGGATTATCAGGCTATATTTTCAAGACATGCCAAATTTAAGAGTAGTACAACACATACAAAACCTTAGCGTGGTCTAACATTAGCTAGCTAAGCTAAGCTAACTCGTGAGCTGTACATTGGGTAACATTTTCTTACCAAAGTATCCGGGGAATGTGGGGATAATATATGCAGTTACTATAATAGCTTTTAAAAATTAAACCGTTAGCACGCTAAAGCAGGAGAATATTTTTCATCTTGTAATGTTGCCTCTTCTTTACT